AGATGGATTGCAAATTGGCTGAAGGGTCATACTCAGAGGGTGGTAGTGGACAGGTCATATTTGACCTGGGGGGAAGTGGGCAGCGGAGTCCCCCAGGGCTCAGTCCTTGGGCCTGCACTGTTCATTTTCTTTATCAGCGATTTGGACGACAGGGTGAAAAGCAACCTGTTCAAATTTGCTGGTGATACCAAAATATGGGGTGAGGTGGGCACGCTAGCAGGGAGGGAAAGACTGCAGCAAGACCTGGAGAGGTTGCAGGGGTGGGCTAACAAAAACAGGATGCGTTTCAATACAGACAAGTGCAGCGTACTGCACTTGGGCAGTAGTAACCGGCAGCACACTTATAAAATGGGAAACTCCCTTCTTGAGAGCACGGAGGCAGAAAGGGATCTTGGAGTCATCACTGACTCCAAGATGAACATGGGCCAACAATGCAAGGTCACGGTCGGCAGGGCTAACCGGACCTTATTGTGCATCCACAGGCACATCTCAAGTAGGGCCAAGGAGGTGATCCTCCCCCTCTGCGTGACACTGGTCAGGCCACAGCTGGAGTACTGTGTCCAGTTCTGGGCACCCCACTTCAAAAGGGATGTGGACAACATTGAGAGGAGGGCCACCCACATGATCCGGGGACAGCAAGGCAGACCCTACGAAGAGAGGCTACGGGACCTGAACCTGTTCAGCCTTCACAAGAGAAGGCTGAGGGGGGACCTTGTGACCGTCTATAAACTCACTAGGGGGGACCAGAAGGGTTTGGGGGAGACCTCGTTTCCCCTAGCGCCCCCCGGGATAACAAGGAATAACGGCCACAAGTTGTTGGAGAGTAAGTTTAGATTAGACATCCGTAGGAACTACTTCACAGTTAGGGTGGCTAGGATCTAGAACCAACTTCCAAGGGAAGTGGTGCTGGCTCCTACCCTGGGGGTCTTTAAGAAGCAGCTCAATGCCTACCTGGCTGGGGTCACTTGAACCCAGTTTCCCTCCTGCCCAGGCAGGGGGTCGGACTTGAAGATCTACAAGGTCCCTTCCGACCCTACTTCTATGATTCTATGACATACAGTGGGAGAGCTGAAAGGGCCTCAGATTTAGGCGTTCCAAAACTATCATAAATTCTATGAAAAAGCATTTTCATTAGAATTTGTTCCAGTATGACAAGAGCTATAGCCACAATATGCAGCTCTACTTTTCTTGTGTCTGGAGGAGATAAAAAGACATTGCACCTCATGCTAATTAAGAACATGCAACATCCTTCACTTGTTTAGAAGAATTGTATTTTGAAAGCTGGCGCACACTGCCAAATGTTTACTGCAGACAATTTAAATTATTATTTATTATCAAATATAAATCCTCCAGATAAGCAGTCACACATACTTAAATGCGCTAGATAACCAAAGACCTATGTTTCAGCATTCCTACAAAGTCTCTTGTTTTTATGTTTTAAGTTGCTCTCAAAATTTGAAGGTTTCTGATTAGAAAGACACCAACTACAAATCAATCCTGGTAGTTTTACTGGAAGGAAAGCTGATAAAGTAGAACACCTACCCTGAACCGGGATTTCTGCGTAGCTTGGTCTTTTGTCTGTCAGAGTAGTAAGGGGTTTGGAAGTTGATATTGGTCCACTTATAGAATGCCTCTGAAATAGTAAAATGCCCATGTCAGAATCTATTTTATACAAAGCTAGATATCATCAATAAGTTAAAAAAGAAACAAAGTAGGTTAATTCAGAGTTGAATTAATCCATCTGATTTTATATGGTCACTGTTAATATATGTATGTGCTATAGCATCTGTATACAGCATAAATATACCCAAGTTGATGATAAAGCCTGCAAAGAGAAGTTGCACATTTTTTTGCTCCTATACAATGTATTAAAAAGGACCCTTTTTTCAAACCGTTTTTGCTAGCCAACTCAAATTGCAAAGCTAAAACAGCCATGCTATACCAATTCAGTTTTCTGTCAACTCTTGCTTCTAAACCTAAACCTAGCTATGTAACTGCACAAAGCTGCACTGATTTGAAATCATGTACGTTGACTGGTTTTGTTTTTACATCATTCACATTTGGGTCTTAATTTACCCCTTTTATTCTGGAGACTAATAACAATTGGTTAGCAGGTTTATGACACCTCAGGTTCTAAGGAAGCAAAAGCCAACTGAATTATTATTATATAGAAAGTTAAAAAGTGATTTTCTTAAAACCTTTTAAATTTGAGCCCCCAACAAATAGCTGAAAGAAGAAATTTGTTCCAACTAGTTAGCATATAGTTAAACACTCAGCAACACACCAATGCAATCACTCTTTCATTTGAAGGTCACCTCAGAAATGCAGTTCTATTCTGAAAAGTAAGATGATACCAGTTTTTCACTTTTAAAAAGTGTGATGGGAGCTACAGGGAATTTTGGGGTGGCTGCAGCAGCAGCCCCCACCCTTAGCTCCCCTCCTGGAGCTGCCACTGCCTGCACCAACTGCAGCCTGGCCCAGCCCCCATGCCAGGAGGAGATCAGCACCACCCCAGCCCATAGCAGCAGCCCGCCCTTGGCCCGCGAGCAGATCCAGGGGCACATACCCTCTATGCCCTCTTGGGGTGTGCGGAGCCGTGGGAGCCATCCCCCTCCCCACAGCCCCCAGATGAGCCACAGCTCGGTCCTGCACTCTGCTGGGGTAGTGCAGCGCCTGCCCCTGCCCAATTCTGTTAAACTAGTGAAAATCTGCAATATTTACAATGCAGTCAATCAAAACTCGGAGCTTATTTATAAAGAAAATGTGGGGAAGCGGGGAGGAATGGGAAGGGAGATGGGAGGGAACTCTATTAGTTTCTGAAAATTATTTTGGTTTCGAAACAGCTAATGCATATTATAGCACACGTTCATTATTTACTCATCATCCTATCTATCCAATTCCTATATATAAACTGCCTAATCAACTCAATAAAGTGGGTAACGAGAACAGCCTGTCAGGTTTCCATCTGGTCCATGACAACACAGCAGGTTAAATGAGCACTCATTATCATCACGAGATAAAAGGTCAGATGTGTCTCGTTACAAGTCATACAGATGAACCTAACCCAAAGACAAGATAAAGAAATTTAATAGTATACGGTCAGTAGGGCTGTGCGAAGCTTCGCCGGCTATTTCGTTTTGACACTGTTTCAACTTGTTTCGAGCTCGAAACATTGAAATTGAAATGAAATTAAAGGCTTTGAAACAGCCTCAAAACAAAATGAGGCCAGGCAAAACGTTTCAAAAGCCTGGAAACGTTCTGAGTTTCAAAGCAGAAGCAAGGTGGTGGGAAGCAGGGGAGAGCCAGGGCTGTGCTCCAAGCAGCTTCGGAGCTCCATGTAGCTCAGCCCAGCAGGGAACACAGCCCTGGCTCTCCCCGCCCCCTGCCTGCGCTCTGTGGGGCTGACGAAGCTGATAAGAGTGCAGCCAGCTCTGCCCACCTCCCAACTCCGCTCCGCTGCCCTCCGATTGGCTCCACCAGCCCCATGAACTTCAGCCCGGTGGCAGAAGACAGGCAGAGCCAGCGCTGCACTCTGCCTCAAACCACCTGGCTGAGTTCTACGGGAGTGCGAGCCTCTGGGAGCTGAGCCTGGTGGCGGGAGGCATTTTCCCCTGCCAGGCTGAGTTCCCCAGGGCTGTGAGCCGCTGGGAATTGAGTCCGGCAGGGGGAAGCGCCTCCCACCCCCAGGCAGTTCCCAGCGCTGGGAAACTCAGCCCGGCTGGAGGAGCCATGTCCTACTGTCAGGCTGAGTTTTCCAGTGCTGGGGGCAGGGTCCAACTAGGGGAGGTGTCTCCCCCCGCCAGGCTGAGTTTCCCAGCACTGGGAACAGAGCATGGCTGGGGGAAGCGCCTCCCCCAGCTGGGCTGAGTTTCCAAGCATTGTGAACTGCTGGGAACTGAGCCTGGCAGTGGGAGGCGCTTCCCCTAGCCGGGCTCAGTTCCTCAGCACTGGGTCCCAGGTGGCAGGAGCAGATCGGGGGCCCACCCACACCCCTGGGAGGGATGCAGGGGCTCTGCCAGACTCCTCTGGGGGGTGCAGGCCCCCAGTCTGCCTGCCGGATCACAGAACTCTGGCTCCTGCTTGTCAGTAGCTTGAGGCGCAATTTCCTAAAAACCCTTACACCTATCTCCTTGAAACTTGGCAGGCTTCATACCCTCAGAAGGGGCTACCAACCCTGCAAGTTTCATTGTAATCAGACAAGAAGTGACTACATTATAGGCTGTTTCATGCTTCCCCATTAAAGCCTATGGGCGAAACGTCAAAACAGTTTGAGATGGCAAAACCATTTTGACGAAACGGAACAGAACAGTGCTTTTAAAATGAAAGGAAACTCAAAACAAAACACTGATCCATCGAAATGGAAATCGAAGTGAAACATTGCTGTTTCGCACAGCCCTAAAGTATCCCCTCGCACACTAAAAGACTACAAGACTACTTTGTTTTTGTTTGGTTCTTAACTAATAACTATTAGGGGTGCACCAACAAAGGTATTTGGGGCCAATACCTATAGCCAATTTTTAAGGAGGCTGATACCGATCCAATTTCTGATACAGCATGGACAGCTGAGTGCAGCTGGTAAGTCTGTTGTGGTAGAAGGGGAGGGGGAGGGAAAGGAGCATGGGGCGGCAGATCGAGGCCCCAGCAGTGAGGGAAGGAGTGGGGCTGAGGCAGGGTCTGCTCAGCCAGGGCGGGTCACAGGATGGAGCCGTGACTCATCCAGGGGCCACGGGGAGGGTGAGGCGACTCCCGCTGCTGCATGTACCCTAGGAGGGTATGGGGGGGAGGGGTGCGCCCGGATCTACGTGGGGCAGGCTGGGACCGGGGCTGTACCGGGCTCTTCCTGGCATGGGCTGGACCAGGCTGCACTTGGGGCAGGTGGCAGCGGTGCTGGGAAGTGGTTATGGGGGAGGGGGGCTGCAGACACCCCAAAATTCACTGTAGCCCCCTCAACCCTCCTTCTCAGCGTTGCCACCGCCCACCCCAAATACAGCCCTGGCCCCAGCTTGCAGCATCCCACACAGATCTGGGGGGCACATGCCTCCCCGCTGTGCCCTCCCAGGGCACGTGCAGCAGTGGGAGCCACCCCACCCCGCACCTCCCAGACAAGTCAGAGCTCTGTCCTGTGCCCTGCCGGAGCTGGGCAGCACCTGCCCCAGCCCTACTCCCTCCCTCACCGCAGGGGCCTTGATCTGCACCCCCCACACCCATTCCCTACCCCCTCTCCTTCTACTACAACCGACTTACCAGCTGCACGCAGCTCTCCAAGCTGCTGGACTGTGCTGCCTGCTATGTACATGCTGCGCTGTAGCTGTGTGCATGCACAGGCCATTTATCAGCCACATCAGGCCGATTTCCAATACAGCCAATTTTCTTTATATTGGTGCCGATCCAATGTTGGACTGATGTATCGGTGCACCTCTAATAACCCTTTTGTACTGGTAACCGAAGGGAAAACAATTATCAGTATTGAGATGTTTTATCCCTCGTTACAGTAAGAGGATTTTTATTTCATCACTTTATAAGGAGATCACCTATGACAGGGGTGTCAAAGATATGGTCTGCAAACCAGATCTAGCTTGTAGAACCGTAGGACTGAACTCACAGGTCTCAGACTGAATATGTGCTGCATGCATTCATGCATGGAGCTGGTCTGGCATGTACTGCATGCAGTGCCCATACTGGACTGACCCACCATGCTGGCTCTGGGGTTAGATCAGGCCTACAAAGTGTCCCTGCGCACCTAGCCAGCATGTAGGGCTGGTCCAGCACAGGTGCTGCATGCAGTGAATGCTTTGTGCTGGCTCTGTATGTACCATGAACCCCAGAACAGGGCTGGCACATACTATGTGCTGGACCCAGCATGTACTATGTGCAGTGCCCCACTTGACCAGCCCTGACCACTGGCTTCAGGGAGTCAGGTGAGTTTGATATCCCTGATCTACAACATCCTAAATGAACACTAGAGATGTACACATTTCATTCTTTAAGCAAGTTATCAACTGCAAATCAAATGCACATTTAATTCTTATGCATGTAAAATTGCTTCCATTAGTAACTATACAAGTTAAAATTTCTAATAATTTTATTTTAAAGGCTCATTTCTGCTGAAAATACCACTTTTTAAATCTCCCATGTAAAAGTGAATTTCTTCTTTCATAAAGGAAAAAGAAAGAAGACCTAATTGAGACAGACTGTGACAAAATGTGAAGAGGAATAAATGTGAGAGGCAGGAATTTTAGTGGGTGGTATCTTTTACTGGAGCAGTTGCATGGCTGTGATGAAAGCTTGTCTAAGTTTAAATGCACTCTATTCCTTCATTCTTTTTCAACCTGAGCAAGGCTTAACAAACTACATCTGCTCACATGTTAAACAGTGATCCCTGGCTGGCTGGACTTGAGAGGCTTGTAAGGGTGCTAGTGGGCAAACAGCTGGCCATGCTCCAATGATTTTGAAAGATACTTCTGCACTCTTAGGACAGAGGATAAACAAAGAACTCCTTTTAAAAGTTCTCCCTTTCCATGTCTCCAACTTCAAAAGGCTTCAGCTTTAAGATAAGTCTCCACCCAACAGAAAACTCCTGCTAAACCTTGTCCCATACCACTTTGCATTAGCTGAAGTCTGCAGGGTAAAAGA